ATCGGATTCGCAGCATAGTATAGGCAACCTAGCTAATAAATACTAAATCTCATTGCATTCTTATTATTATAGTTGGATAGAAATTATTCCGTATAAAAATACATGTGACGAGTAGAGAAATTTTATAATACACCAAGAATAGCTAATAGCATGTGTAGTAGTTACTCCATGGGCCCACTTTGAAGAGAGAGAAATAGGAGAGAGAAAATAAAAAAATTTGAGCGAGACGTGAAAATCTTCTTATCACTTTTGGTGGGTATGGATGTAATTTCACTATTTTTTGTGTGTCTATATCTCTTTAAAGTGGACCCATAGAGTAACTATCGTATATGTCACTAGTTATTATTGATGTATTATAAAATTTCTCCGTGACAATGTAGTGTTTAACATCTATCCCCACGAATAAATAGGTTAGTCTTTATAGATTAACTAAAGACTAGTTTAACAAAGCATTATTGGAGTGCGGGTTTTGTTTTTGTTTTTGTTTGTTATTAGCATTTTATTTATTTATCCTTTTTATTAATCACGTATTAAAATATAATACTGGTGACTTGCATATATATATATATATATATATATATATATATATATATATATATATATATATATATATATATATATATTAAGATTAACTCTATCATTTTTAAGTTACATCAACATTAAATTACATCTAATTTTTAATGATTTTAAAAGTTGGACTATTTGAGTCCACCAACAGTCCTTATCTATTAACACACAAAAGAAATGAAAGAGATTTTCAAGTATGACATTTTGAATTTAAAAGATAAAAAATTGCTCAATAATATTGATTGATTAGTGGAATTTGCCTGATAATTAAGCAAACAATTATTATCATTTACAAAAAAAAAAAAAAAAAAAAATTCTGATTGTTTATTCATCGTGCCCTTTCTCCTCTCAAAAGGTCATATAACGTGGTTGAATTCAAAGGCCACTCAGCTTTTTGATCCAAAAAACGACTTGAATTTAAAAAAAAAAAAAAAAAAAAAACACGAAAGATTTATTATTATTATTGGCCATTTTATGAACTGATGGTTTGCATTTCAGTTCTTATAGTTAGATAATCTTGAATAATATTCATCGTTTCAGTTAAAAAGCAAGTCTAATTTCTGTTTCATAGATCCAAAAACAATGGTCCAGCAATTCAGGGAGGAAAATTTTGAGAGATTAATACATGAGAATAAAGCGTTCCCACGTACCAAAAAATGAGGATTAAATAATTCTATTGTTTCTGTATTTGGAGCATAACTATAGCTTAGTCCGTCATATTTTAATGTAAAAATGTAGTTCCTTGATTCTTCATAGACCATCCTAGTTTTATTTTGTGGTCGCCGACATAGTGCCTTAAAAGGCAGAGCGGGCGACATGGATTTTATTAGATCATGACTATTTTGCAGCCTAAATATTTACAACTCAAATACCTAAATACATGTGTTTGATAATATAATGATAAATTAAGGTTTGTATTTGTATTAATTAATTAATATAATCACAAACGTTAAATACATAATATAAATTAATAAAAAATTTTCAATTTAGAAAAAAATACATTATGGATGCAATGATATGTTATAATGTGTTTTTAAACCATATTAACCATTGTCTTATTAAAACATTTTGGTGTTTCTTCAAATTGCGCTCTATTACATTGGTTTTTCTCTAAGAATTTCCTTTATGCAAGGCGAATTTAGGATTAAAAAAATAAAATATTTTTTTTAGATTTTTTTCAGATATCTTCTTCTCATATTAGAAATATAACTAATCATGTTTACGATAGAAATAATAAAATTTAACTCCTCTAAATAAGTGTGATTTCAGAATTTGAATCCTTTAAATTAGCAAAAAAAAAAAAAAAGTTTAGAAATTAATTCATCTATTATTAAACCAATAACTTATTGGTAAACAGAAGTTGTTTTACCAAGACAAAAGTCAACAAGATTTAAGGGATCAATTTATAGGTTTTCAAATATAAAAGGAATAAGTTAGAATTGAATTCAAACTTTAGGGACTAAATAAATAATTTGCTCATAATTAACAAGCTGCTTCTCTCCTCATATTGAGACCACGTGCTGTAACAAAATCACCGGCTATACGGTCCATTTATATGGAGCATCATCGTACCTTTCTCTGCTATATGTTTTCTTCTTCTTCTTCTTTCTTCTTCTTCTTTTTTTTTTTCGAAAATTTCCTGAATTATGCACCCATTCTTCTTTCAGAACTGGTACAATGTATCCAAAGCTAAATACTAATAAATAAGTATATATGTATTTTTCAACAATAACCAATAAATTTATGATTAATAGATTCAGCACTTTTTTTTAGCTGTATAATTCTCTAAGTTCACAGTACCAATAATTCTGTACTTTTTTTCCATATCCTGTATATTTATTGACACTTATGTAAAGTTTCTTTAAATGGATTCTTAATTTATGTCTATCTCGAAAGGTTTGCCACATAAAATTCCCCTTTTTACTGAAAATGAATTGTCCCCATTTGTTTTTTTTTTTTTTTTTTAATTAAATGAGCATCAGATTCAGAAGAAGCCGCATTCTTTGAATGGAATTTCATATTGCTGCTCAAAGAAAAATGAAATGAAAAATATTTTGAAGGCAAGCACAAATTAATCTAATGATTTTTTAGTGAAGTTATCCCCATAACTAATTAACTAGTATCAAACAATTAATAAATAGAAAATTCAACAATATGTTTTGGCAGTGGACTTCTCAAGTGGTTAATATATTAGTTAAAGTTTGATTTGATTATAGCAAGCTAACTAGCTAGACCTTGAATTGGTCTCCCAATACAACCACCATAGTTGCATTTGTTTTTTTGTTTTTTGTTTTTTTTTTTTTTTTATATCAAGTGGAAAGAAGCCGGTGAGATTAAGGAATACTTTAGAGCGGGATAAGAGAGAATCACTCTAGAAGAAACAAACAAATCTTTGATACTTGACGAGAAAGAAAATTAAGAGAAAAAAGAAAAAAAAAAAAAGAAAAGAAATACCAAGTGGGCTAAAAGTTAATTTGAAAGAAAGAGAAGGAAGATGATTAAGAAATGACATATGATGAGTTCAAATTAATCACCCATGAGGCATGAAGAAAAACCATTAATGCCACTACGCTAATCCCATGACCCAAATATTCATGGGTCCCAGACCACTAGCATGTAATGTTACCTGAGGATCATGTGCTAAAGCGGTCCAACTTGTTTACCAACAGGAAAAAAAAAAAAAAAGCGGGTCCAAATTTGGTCCTTTGAGTGTTTGAAGACCAGATACAAGATAAAGAATCACGTTAAAGCATCAGAAAGTGGGAAAACAATCACAGCTTATTTGGCGGGGCATGGAATAGTAAACGGAGCTAGTACCTTAAAAAATATTAATATATATAGAAAAAAATTTGTATATTATTGTTAAAAAGAGAGAAGAGAGAATTACATTGGCTTATTTCTTTTCTTTTCTATTCTTTTTTTCTACCTTAAATTGGTCTACGCGGTCTGGATCTGCATTTGGGTCAGTTCCAAATGCTTATCTTATCCTTCGGCTTTCGCCTCTCCAGCAAGTTGATCGTCCATTTGAAGCCAGTTTGGCAATTTGTACTTGAATATCTACAAGATTCACGAAGCTGCCATTTTCTTTGGTGAGAATAGAAAGGGAGTTAATGACTCTAAAGTCCTTGCGCATGGAATCGCCATTTGGGACCTACCTGGATATTGTTACTGAGGGCTCTCTTTTCTGTATGGAGAACTGGAGAAGCAGCATCCTTAACCAACTTGAAATTTTTAATTAAAAAACTATCAAATTTCAAATGGACCACTCACCAATTAAAAGCTCTTCGTTGCAAATTGATTTTTATTACAACTTTGGCTATCTTGTTGCAGCTATTGGTGGCAAATGGACCACTTTATCGAATTTGAATCTGAATCTCAAAATGGTTAGTTTAATTTGAGATAAATATTTTATTATCATGTTGATTTTGTATCTTTTGATTCCTATTGTTCTTTTATGCCATGGTTTTTTTTGTCTATATCGATTGATTTTTTTTCTTCTAAATATAATAAAATCTACAATACATCAAACAAATTAATTTTTGCTATTTTGTTGTATATATTAGTGGTAAACGACTTGCTTTATCAAATTTAAATCTTACAATGGTTAGTTCAATTTGAGATAAATATTCTATTAATGTATTGAGTTTGTGCTTTTTTTTATTGTTTTTTATGCAGTTTTGTGTTATTATGGGTTTTTTTCCCTTTTCTTTTTAAATGCAATAAAACCGACATTACATCAAACCAACTAACTCTTGCTGAATTAGCAACAATTATATAATACTCTGTGAAAAAGACAACTTGATAAGATTCTCAAAAAGTAATTCATTTATCTATTATCTATATATTATGAAATTGATAATAATTCAAACGATGCACACATCGAAATTAATGCAAAATGTTAACATTATTGTGATCCAAAATGCAAATAATATCCATAATCAACATCTATTCAATAGCATCACAAGATCCATGTGTCATTAAGCATTATTGTTGAAACAAAAATATTAATTTGGAGTTGATGCAAAGTTTTCGCAAAAATATAGTCATAATTCCATGCTTCCTTGAGGACATGTTAGTAATTCAATTTAATTCAAAATTAGGGCCAATTCAGTAATTTAAACACACCAACTAGGCACTATTTTATTACTCTCAACATGAACTTTTTTATTAACCTCCCTTCTTCTCCATGAGAAAATCCAACTCACCCACCCACCCCTTCAGCTTACCATTTGCATAACATCACCAGTACCCTTCCACTTCTCTCAGAGTTGGACAGTGACTAGCCCCATCTCCATCCCCTCACATCACTCCATCTCTCAAATATATATACACACGCAAACCTTCCAAAAGTTAGCTCTTCAAGAAACTAAAAACCTAAAAATCCCATCTCTCATAAATCATTAGTACAAAAACTTTAAACGAGAAATCGAAAAATGCCTGCTAATCCTCCAAAATCGTCTCTTGTAATCCATAGAATCAACAACAGCAACACAACTAACACAACCCTAAACACTACCAATCCAACCACCACAACATCATGCCAAAAACGGTGTTCTCCTCTAACATGCGCCACCACCCCAGTTCCAGAAATCGTCTCGCGCTACCACACCCACGCTTTAGGCCCCAACCAGTGCTGCTCTGCCGTGGTACAACAGATCGCTGCCCCAGTCTCCACCGTATGGCCTGTTGTCCGCCGTTTCGACAACCCACAAGCTTATAAACATTTCGTCAAGAGCTGCCACGTCATACTCGGAGACGGTGACGTGGGTACACTCCGTGAAGTCCACGTCATCTCAGGTCTCCCTGCTGCTAACAGCACCGAACGCCTCGAGATCCTCGACGACGAGCGACATGTCATTAGTTTTAGAATCGTCGGTGGGGACCACAGGCTTGCGAACTACAGGTCGGTTACAACTCTCCATGCGTCACCTGCAGGTAATGGCACCGTCGTCGTGGAGTCCTACTTGGTCGATATCCCTCCGGGAAATACTAAAGAGGACACGTGTGTATTTGTGGATACCATAGTTCGGTGCAACCTACAGTCGCTGGCGCAGATCGCTGAGAACTTGAATAGACGCAATAATAGATCATCATCGTGAGTGATAATAAAAATATTTATTGTTATTCTTACTTTTATAAATACATTTAGGGTTTAATTTTTATTTTTCAAATGGAAATGTATGATTTGGTGAAAACACCATTTTTTTTGTGAGAATACGATGTGGGTTTGCCAATGATAATTTCAACACTCCTGTTTCTTGATCTGTAATATTATTACTTGTTTTTTTTTTTTTTATCGTAGTTTTAATTTTTGTTTAGCCTATCATCTTTTTGAGAATGCATTTTCCGAAATATTCTATCAATGCTGACACCACTATTAGCTCTCTGATATCTATCCTAACTTTTTTCACTGTAAAAACAAAAACATTAATAGATAAAATTTGCTTACATTGTTTTTTTGTTGCCATTAACGCCGATTATAGTTGTGTAATAATTAAATATAGTTGTTGTTTTGGTGGGATTAATATAATAGTGAAAACGGTTTTGGTGCACGAAGAGATAACTTTTCTTAAATCCTGAGGTGGATCGTGATCTTCGAATAAATTGCGAAAGCTAGCTCAAGAATACCATCAATTAAAAATTAATTTAGAAATAGCAGTAGCATTTGAGAATTTTATTCATGAATGGATTATGGCGTTAAAATCTGTCAGGGATTTGGTGAAAACATAAAATAGGGTTTTAGTGCGGGATGTGATAACTTTACTTAAATCCTGAGGTGGATTGTGATCGTGATCTTCGAATAAATGTGCGAAAGGTAGCTCAAGAATGCCATCGATTAAAAAATAATTTAGAAATGGCAGTGGTATTGGAGAATTTTATTCATGAATGAGTTATGGCGTGAAGAGTGTAAAATCTGTCAGGGATTTAGTGAAACATAAAATAGGTTTGTTGTTTAGAAGAAAGACCCGGCAATGTAGAAAATCTGAATTCCCATGTGAATGGCATTCGCCGACGGCCGGGAAAGGAGCATCAACTTCCATTATATTCCATAATGTAGATGCTAAACCTCGTATCCGCAGCAAAACAAGTTGCTAGTTGTGATAGTACACATGATTCTGTACTAACGGTAATTGTTAAGATGCGTTTACATGATACATGACACACATGCTCAGCTGGAATTCTTGGAAAATTGGGTGGCTTTGAGTTAATGAGAGAGATAGTATGTTTAAGGGTTTAATTAAAATGGGATTAGAGCTTGATCATCAACTAGTTTATTTATGAGGAAAACGTGGTGCCAGTTAGCCTGCAAGGATGAGTCCATCAGCATGGGAGACAAAATGAAGTTAAAAATATATGTGCAACAATAACTGATACCCTCGTGCGGAATCACATCGCTTTCCATTTGACGGTGCACAAAATTCCATGTAGTTTTATCAAATTTTAATACCTTGTGGATATTTTCTGATTATTAGGGTTTTATTTCTTAGTTAATTGGTATCAAATGAGCAAATTAACCAATTTTTTGGGGTAAATTTCTGTGTCATTTTCAAAGAGCGCGAACGCTTTTTATACTAGTTAAGGTATATAATATTTTTGAACTTTTTTTAACGAAAGAAAAAGAATAAGAAAAAAAGATCCTGATGGGTTGTGTAACTTTTATATCTATTATTAGCTAGGACAGAAATTTCCATTTCCAGTTCAAGCATTTCCACGGGGTTGGAAGCATAAGGCATTAAAATACTCATAACGTGAAAGGAATCAAGAGCTGCTGCCCTGTCAAACTGCAACTTGACTTTGATAACTCAACAATCTGTTAAAAGATTCAAGCAAGTTGCGAAATAGTTTGCTAAAAAAAGAGAAAGAGAGAGATGGATGCAACTTGCATATGGTCTCCCTTTGAATAAGATGGTTTTGTTGCAAGTTGAGATGCAAGTGGGGGAAGGGGTCTGCTTTTAATGTTCTCGTGTACTATTGTCTACTTTTGAATGGCTTCACGCCAACCATTCTCTTTCTCTTTTGCTTCTCGTTGATTGGCTGGCCAATTGAGAAAAAAACTCGGACTGCCATTGGCATGCTAAAGTCTGTCCATTCATTTATTGGACTTTTCCATCGCTGTTTTTAGGACGAATAACCCCGCTCTCCCTACAGTAGCCATCACACGGCGGACCTACAGAAATTGTTTAAACGACATGTCGTCCTTCTTACAAATCCATAAATTGTGTGTCATTTATTTTTCGAAAACCACATGTCATTATAATGGCTGACATTGCTTCACGTCCTCACCTGTTAAACGTGAATGATGACTAGCTAGCAGCTAGGTATCAGCAAATGGTCCTTTGTGCAGCCTTCGGGCTTAATGGTTGGAAAAATGTAGCCAAAAGAACATGGACTCAAAGATAGGATAGGGGTTAGCTGGGATGAGGTTATATATGTATTAGGTAGAATAGGGACCCAAATGATTACGTACGTTCTAAAGAAAATGAAAAAGATTTCACGAAATGACAAAGTGAAGACCTAATCATGTTCCTGCCTCTCTGTAATAATGCGAAGAAAATATGGCTATTGTAATTTGGAATCTCTTAGATGGCGTTTGGTTTCAAATATGGGATGTTGGATACAGTCGTCCAGATACGAGATAAAATGGTCTAATTTTGCTTCCCTCTTTAGGGTAAAAATCGAGGAAGTACGTCTCCCTCTGACAGAGATACGGGGATACATACTAGGACGAAAATTTCCACTTTTATCTTTATAAAAGTTTCAATCTTACAAGCTATACCTTTCATTTATTATCTTCATGGTCAAAGGAGTCTAACTATCCTAAACTTTGAGTCATTTTAGATTGAATTTTTAAATTTTTTTTTATTAATTTTAAAGATTTTTAAACTTTTAATTTTTTTGAAATTTTATTCAATCTAATAATTTTCATCTATTATCTTCTTTTCTAAAAAAATCAATTCTTGATATTTTAAACTTAAATTTTGCACACACATTAAAAAAATTTAATCTGTTTCGTAAAAAAAATTTAGAATTTTTCAAAATAAAAAACTATATATATATTTGTTTATTTTAAGAACATTAAAAGTATAAAAAATCGAAAAAAATAAAAAATAATCTCGAAATGATGATAATTCTTTTTAGAAACTCTTTATAAATCTTAGTGAATGATTTCTATCATGAAACTATTTATATGATTATTATTTTTTGAAATAAATGATAAAAAAAAAAACTAACTAAATTTTTTTTAAAAAAAAGTTCAAGAGTCTTCAAAATCAATAAAAAATTCAAGATTTCAACTTCAAATGAAGGGGTAGTTAAACTCTTTTAGCTTATTTTTAATTGTTCATCTTGTATGATTTTTTTCTATCACGAGTTGCTTAAACATAGAAGTAAAAATATTAAAGCTGAAAAAAAAGAAAAAGAAAAAGAAAAAATATAGTAGGAAAAAAATTTTGGATTACAAAATCTAGCTATAACATCGATAAAATACTATCTTCAAACAAAAATTGTTATCTCTATGAATCCATAAACACTAAAATTGGATTATTTTACCATTAGAATTAAAAAACATATATTTGAAATTTTAAATCTAAAAAGTATAAAGTTGCTTAAAATTAGATTATTATACCTTTCACTGATCATTTTTAATTGTTTTCATCTTATAGAAATTATTATTTTTCAATAGGAGTTGCTTAAACAAAGTAAAAGAGTTAAAGCTAAAAATCACAAATATATATATATAAGGAAAAAAAAAAAAAGAGGAAGGAATTTTTTAATTATGAAATCTAGCCACAACATTGACAAAATACAACTTTCAAAGAAAAGATGTTATTCAAAAAATCTTTAAACATTAAAATTAGATCATTTTACCATCCAAGTTTGAAAAATATCCATTTGAAATTCGAATCCAACAAGTACACTAAAACAAAATCGAGATTTAGTGATAGACTAATTTTAGTAATGGAATCCAACCCAACGATAGAATAACGAGTAAATAGTAATCGAATAACATCTATGGGATCTAGAGACCGAGTAGAGATGGTTTGGTGATAATTTATCGGCGATAAATGAAAGTTCATCGCTATTTGAGGCATCAAAATCTTTTTGGGTGTTTTAGCAAAAGATTAGCGCTTAAATTACAATGAAAATTAGCTATGGGCTATTATTTTTGTCGCTATTTTTAATATTTTGATTTAGCAATGGAATATTTGTTGCTAAACAACAATATCCATTGCTAATTCTAAAAAATAGATCGCCTTTTGGAATTAAAAAGCCATCTATTTAACAATGGTTTAGCGACAAATACCTATTTTCGTCACTAAATAGCGACGGATTAACAACGATATCGCTTTCTAAAAAATGGGTAGCCTTTTGGAATTAAAAAGTCTCTTATTTAACGATGGCTTAACGATATACACTTATGTCCATCACTAAATAGAGACGAATCGATGACGGGATCGTGTTCGTTACTCGGTTTAAATCTCCAATTAGATCCCATTTTCCTTTCTTCTTCTCCCATTTTCTTCTTCCCTTCCTTCTCATCCTTTAACTACCGAGTCCTTCCCCCACTCAAAACCACCACAAAGCTCCACTCTCTCGTCAATCAACACCCATTCTAAACTCTTTTCTTCCTAAAAACCCCATTTTTTCTTTCTTCTTCTCGAACTCTTTTTTGTTTGAATTAGGTAAGCTCTCTCTCGTCTCTCACTCTCTCGTTTCTTAAAAGTTAGTTATTTTTATAATCGTTAGCTTAATTTTAAATTTAATTGATTGATTCATAATTTTATATAGTTTTAATAATTAATTTGTTGATTTTGTTAAATTGTTCTTTTTTGTTAATTGTTAGGCTAATTTGTTAACTAATTATTAGTTAAATTTAATTTGGTTTGAATTAGGGTTTAATTAATTTAGGTTTAAATTTGATTAGGTTTGAATTCAAATTAATTAGATTAATTTGATTTAGGTTTAAGTAATTAATTAAGTTAATTTTGATTAATTGGTTGATTTTTAATTTTATTTATATTGAAAATTATTAATTAATTGTTAGTTAAATTTAATTAAGTTTGAATTAGGATTAATTTGATTTAGGTTTAAATTTAAT